GATTAATAGATTAAATAAATTAAATGGATTAACTTTTATAATCCCCTTTTTAGATTAAATATAGTATAGGTTACCCGATGTTTATGCATTCCTAAATTTTTCCAGGTCAAATATAGTATAGGTGACCCTGTGTTTCTGCATTTCTGGAAACTTTACCGAAAGAGTTTCCTATACTATATTTGAACTGGAAAAATTTCCGGTAGCCCATACTATATTTAATCCCCCTTTTGCCCTAAGTAATTTTCTTCTTTTCTACAATCTCTGGTTCAATTCGATTCAACCATCGAGTTTAGTTTTATTCATTATGCCTCAGCATAAGTCATCCCGTCATGCTGCTAATCGAAGATACTATGAAAGAAATCGAGAGCGAATTCTCCAACTTCGTCGAGCTTCTCGCATTGAGACTCGCGCTCGACTAGAATACCTTGAAAGTATTAGGGTTTCTTGTTTTCAAACTCACAGTAATCTGCAACTTCCTTCTATTTATAGTCCTTTGAACTTTGAATCTCCTCAACACGAAATGATGCTGGCATCAAAACCCGAAGAAAATACATCGTATAACCCTTTGAACTTTGAATCCCCCCAACTCGAAATGATGCTGGCATCAAGACCCGAAGAAAATACATTATATAACCCTTTTAATTTTGAATCCCCCAACACGAAATGATGCTGGCATCGAGACCCGAAGAAAATACATTATGTAACCCTTTTAACTTTGAATCCTCTCAACACGAAATGATGTTGGCATCGAGACCCGAAGAAAATACATTATGTAACCCTTTTAACTTTGAATCCTCTCAACACGAAATGATGCTGGCATCAAGATCCGAAGAAGGTACATCGGCAACAAAAAATTAAGCAATATTAAGTATTTAGGCGGGATGACTAAACAATCAATGTTGTTGGGAGTATATTCTCGTTATTATTAATGAAGCGTTTTATATAACTCGATATATGTTTTATTTAATAATTTAATTCCTATCAAGATGGCAAATCTTTATATAAATTTTCAATATGGCAAAAGAAAATCGGAAATTTTCGCACTTTGTATTAGATTTTGTTCGTTTAAATATACGATTCCTAAAATGTCTTTTCGTTTAAATTTTTTGTGTTTTTCACAATATATGATTATAAGTAAATTTTTTCTAATAAATAAGGTATATGGTCGAAGTTTAAAATTTTAGAATTTATTAAATATGTAAAAATACCTTCTGAGCTGATGTAAACAAGTAGATATTAATTTCTAATCCTTTGCTCCTGATATCTAATGATTTATTATATAAGATAATTTGCATGTGCTATATGCA